GAGGTATGTGGGAGGCAGGGAGTATGACGTGGTCTGGCCTCGGAGAATCGCGGGGACTGAGAGAGGAGGAGGCGAGGCCCGGGGCGGGCAGGATACCCGGCGGGACGCGCGCGCTCTGCAGCAGGTGACGGGCCCGCCGCCAAGTCGGCTCGGCTCGGCTCTCCTTGCCAGCTTCTGCCTCTCCTCGCGTCCCACCACGCCTCTTCCTCAGTTAGGGCTACTAGTATTCTCAGGAAATGATCGGTTTGTGCACACTCTAAAAGCCTTTTCCCTCCCTGTGCAAGTACATGCGTGCACATGCATCTGCGTATTATCCGGTCTTCTTGGGATATGCACTAGAGTCCCTAAGATGTTTAGTGCTTGATATGTACATTGTTTATTCCCTAGAAAAACATATTCTTTGACTAGCTAAAATTGCCATTTAGTTTCTGACCTCCCATTTCAGGCATTTGCTTTTAATACCGTAAATTATTCTTCTGGTCCGTTAGCACGTTTTAACTAACTTTACACATGGATTGAACCAACCAGTAAGTATCTTCATGCATTTGGGGCTTGCGGTTTTTTTGTTGTTTTTGGTTTTATTTTGATGGTTCTGTGGTGAAAATTCTGTAAGTTCATAAGGTAGAATATTAAAATTACTATCGCTCTTGTTTTACCAGGGCACCAGCTATGGTAAGTGATTTGGGAGTCTGGGCCACATTCAGACTTACTTTGACCCTTGCAGATGGAAGTAGGCATCAGTCACTTGCCTTTTGTCACAGGTCAGTTCCCTGGGAAACAGGGAGATGATCTAGTGTGCAGTTTTATTGGGAATGCTCCTAGAATCAACAAATGGAAAGGGTAAGGGAAGCCACCTTAGAAGGAGGCAGAAGTTGAGGTTGATGTGGTTTAACAGAAGCCTCAAGCTGATCTCAGAGATATTTGAGCCTGGAATGGCCCTTCAGAAATGTCCTGCATTGAAACAAATAGGAGAGGGAGGCCTTTATTTTCTTCCATCAACCAGTCTTGAATTTGAGCACCCCCAGTAGTGGGTTTAAATTTGAACAAGGTACCTCTTCTGTTGAGGACAGTTCCAGACACCAACCCAGTTGTGAGCCATTGGCAGTCAACATTTCTGAGGTTGAGAAATGAGCGACAGCATGGGGAGCACCATATGACAGTTGCAAACATGTCCTCACAGTTCTTTTGGCAATCATGTATCAGACATGTGCTCATCTTTGACCAGTAACGTATCCTTTTCCACACTAATAGCAGAGAGAACAGGTGTCATTAAAACAAAATGATGGTTAGTAGAAAGTCAATTCATTTGTCCTTTTGGGTTTGAAAAAGGTCTCTGTTCCTGCCACCAGAGTTTATAGCCTTGAGTTTAGTGATTTCACATTGAAACACTGATCCAAGAAGGGACAGTCATCTCAATCCAGTCCCTATGTTCATCCTCCCAAAAGAACATTCTTCTTTGGTTTTGACCAAAGCATGTCTATTCTTTTTTGTTTTGAAGCATCTAGTGGATTAGCTACTAAACTCATTATAGTTGATGGGTATGAAATCATACTCAAAGAAGATACAAGTAGGAGAGTTATTGTGTCTGGCTCCGTGGCTTAGCTGGTTAAAGCGCCTGTCTAGTAAACAGGAGATCCTGGGTTCGAATCCCAGTGGGGCCTATTCTACTTTCTTCCTAGCTTTTGTGATTTTTTTTTTAAACCCCTGTACTTTCTTTGGGTGAATAGGAACCAACTTGAACTTAGGATGAATCTTGTGATGTTCAGGGCCTTTGGAGAAGCATTCCCAATACCTATACCAAGAGTGATTTAAGGACTCAGGGTATTTGTCCTAAACATGACAAATGGTTGGCTATAGCCAACCCAGCTGAGGTTTGCCCCTTAGCCCTAGCTTTTGAGATCAGGTAACATAGAGATTCAACCACTTTGATAACATGCCCTTTCAGATATTCTTTGCATTACCAAGGAATTACTGATTACTAAGAAGGGATTAATAACTTTGTCAATTGCTGAGCATCTGAGAATGCAGAAGTGTTAGAAGACTAATATTTTTTTAAAACTCCTTAAAGTGGCTTTGAATCTAATGGATGACATCATGTAACTCAGGAAGAGTTGCATAGTTAACAGTACTAAATGACAAAAAGTGACTACTCTATAAGACAATTTTAACCATGTCCTGGACATTCAGTTTTGCCTTTGCTAAAGGGAGTTCTCTAATTGAAATACTATTTCTTTCCAGACATAAGTTATTTTTTATTCAAATTGCCTCCCCTTTAGGCCAGCTATGTGGTTCTTTCTTCCTCATGTCCAGCTATTCATTGGTTAAGTTGGGCCCTGGGTAGTTTGGTGAATTCATTTGAATGAAATGTGCATTAAAAAGTGAAAGGTAAGCGCCCCCCCCCCCAAAAAAAAGTGAAAGGTAAAGTATGGTGACGATAAGAAATGTCAGGGAAAGAAAAGTGGTTAGGAAATATATCCACTTGGTGTCTAACCAGGAAACTTTAGGTATGAAATGAATTTGGTGATGACCACACTGTGAATAACTACTTCCAGAAATCATTACTTTGCAGATGCAGCTGAGATCATCTGGTCATCTGTCCCTGTTACCTGTTACCACACTTCTCCTCTGTATTGGGATTGCTTAGTGCTGAGTCTGTGTCTACAATTCCACATGAACAGTGCGCCAAACTCAGGAGTATCGAACACTCTCAGATGGTTCAGTTTTAAGTTCTTGAGTCTTATACCTACACCATGATTGCAACTGAAAGAATCTCAAGTGTCTTGGCTTTCTAGGGCTGATGTTCACATCTTGAGTCATTGTTGAGTCTCTGGAATTAATCCTTCATCCTTCAGAATTTCCTCAACTCTAAACATCTTGGCTGCCTGGCTGGACCTGATCTCCCCAGATATCCATATGTTAAGACAGATCTCTCCATAGCTTCAAACTCATATTTCCATTTCCACTTGGATTTCATAGAGACACCACCAACACAATGCACCAGAAATTCAACTGACATCAGTCCTGTTGGAAACCTGTGGTTAACCTTGATTCTTCCCACCTTGGAAAGCCTTGTTGACTTTGCCTTCAACATGTGTAAGATGTCTTTCCCTTCTATCCTTCTATTGGTCCCTATTTGGGTCTTCAATATCTCTTCTTGTCCATAACCTATAAGAGCCTCCTCTGGTTCCCTTGTCTTCAAAATTGGCCATCAAAGCATTCTCAATACAGCAAAGTTTATGGCTTAAAATATAAAACATCTTTTCCTCCTTAAAATTTCCCAGTTTTTAACCTTCTCTTTCTCTTCCTAACATATACATCTAACCATACTTATTTCCCTCTAAGCACTGTTCTAGTTGCATGTTGTCCTTTCATTCTTTTAGTTAGAATATTTTCTAGTTTCGATTATACTTTTACTTTGATTTGTGGGTTAGTTAGAAGTGTGATGCTGAAGTTTCCCTATATCTGATAATTTTGTATTTATCTTTTTGTTATTGACTTCTAGTTTAATTCTGTTATCAGAAAATATTTTTTAAATTATTTTAATCCTTTAAAAAGTTTTGAGACTTGCTTGATGGTTCTGTTTTGGTGAATTTTTCATGTGAACTTGAAAATAATGTGTATTCTGCATTAGTTACGTAGTGTCGTGTAAGTGCTAACTAGGTTAAGTTGATTAATTACTAGCTATGGTTCAAATCTTCTGTATCCAACTTATTTCCCCTTTTCTTTCAGCTTCTCATCAGCTACTGAAACAGGCCTTTAAAATCACCAACCATAGTTGTGGTTGTTCTATTTCTTGTTTGATTTTCTCAGTTTTGTTTCATAAAAATTAATAATTCTTGGTGAATTAATCATTTTATAGTTATTGAATGTTTTTCTTTATCTTTGGTCTTTTTACCTTGGGGTCTATTCTGTCTGATATTGATATATCCACACCAGTTTTCTAATGGTTGATGTTTTCAAGGTATATCTTCCCTCACCATACTACTTACAACCTGTCATCTTTAATCCTCTTATGTGTCTCCTGTAAGCAGGGTACCATTGACTCCTGTTTTTCTTTGTTTTATTTTACTATTTAGCCTGCCAATCTCTGCCTTTTAATTATGTATATATTTCATTTACATTAATGCAATTATTGATATTTGGATTTAAGTTCATCATCAAGTTACTTGTTTTCCATTTATCCCACTTTTTTGTTCTTTTTTTCTGCTTTTCTTTGAATTAATATTTATTATTCCATTTAACCTTTGTTTGACCTAAAATGTATTATCTTTTCCCTCCAGCTGCTGTTAAGGTTTTTTTAATCTTTGGTTTTCAATCATTTCAATATAATTTGGGTAGTTATGATTTTCTTCATGGTTATCCTGGCTGCCATTTGCTGAGTTTATTGAATCAATGAGTTGATGTGACTTTTTTTTCATTGATCTGTGTCCTTAAGATTAGTACATTTTAATTATGTAAATTACACTTTGATTTAAAAAAAAAGAAATCTTCACTGATGACATCTACACTCCAAAATTAATGGTTAGGCTCCAACTCCTCTCCTCATATTCAGATTAAAATATACCTTCCCCTCTTTGGAAGGTACATCCCATGTTTTCTCTGACCTGGCCCACATATTCTCATTTAATCTCATTTATTTCCATGCCCTGCTTCAAATCCTTGGATATCCTGCTGTTACCAACATCATGCCCACTCCATTCAGTTCCCAATGACAAAGCCCCTTTTCTAACTCTATGCATCATACTTCCATTGTTCTCTATTAATCTTTGAAGTCTTAGATCTGGTGTCATTTTCTCTAGAGGGCCTTCAAGGGCACTGGGGTAGCCTCCAATTTTCCGGCTGTCCTAAACAGGCTTCTCTGAACATTATGGTAGATATATTTGGCAAATGCATTTCTACTGGTAAGATAGTGTTAACTTCATCAAAAGAAATCCTTCCAGGAAAAAGACATGGGGCATCAAGACATATTTACTTTTATCTAAGTGCTCATCTTATACCTGGTTTCTGTAGTGTAGTGGTTATCACATTTGCCTAATACGTGAAAGGTCCCTGGTTTGAAACCAGGCAAAAACACATTGTTCCTTTTGCTTCTGTATTTGTTTCCTTTAGGACATGAACTGGTCCTTTCTTTTGGGGTCTCACACATAAAAACAAACACAAATATTTGCCGCCCTGAAATATGCCACGTTAGCTTAAGAATGATGTTGAGCTGAGAGCATTTGAGGAAGAGCAAGCAGGAAGGGCTCTCTGCAGAAAAGCAGGGCATCCCTGCCCGGTTGTGAAGGTGTTGCCTCCCAGCTCTCCTACCAGAGAAACAAATCCTGCTAAAATAACTCAGCTTCCACTAGTTTCCCCATATATTTACCTTCCCATAAAATGTTCCCCCTACAAGTCCAAACTCTCCTTTTCTTTGTCTACCCACTTCCCTTTGTATCACCCTTTACTAAAATGATTTAAAAGCTTTCAATTCTAACTTCTTTGGGTTCTCACTTCTTTTCTGTGAAGACTTCATGCATGTAAAATTAAAATAAAAAATATACACATTGACAATATTTGTAAACTTTTTCTCCTGCTACACTGTCCTTTGTTAGTTGGACTCATATTCCCCAGAATAGAGGAAGAATTCTTCCTCCTTACATATGGAAATTGTGAGAAGATCAGAAGATCAGGGCTTTGGGTAATTTGAATAAAATACACACATTTCCAAAAAGATGTTAAGGAATAGCATGTAATGTGGAGCCAGGAGTACTTGCATTTGAACCATAATTCACATGGTTTCACACAAAATAAATAAGTTACATGGTGTGTTAAAGGATCATGAGCAGTATGGAGAAAAATAAAGCAAAGAATGAGGAGAAGCACTGGAATGAGGGAAGTGTATGACTTAGATATAATGTTCAGACTGGGTTTCCTGATATGTTGATATTTGAGAAAACACCTGAAGTAGGTAAGGGTCATACATATATCTAAGCAAGAATATCCCAGCAGAGGGAACAGTCAGTGCAAAGTCCCTGAAACAGTAATGTGCCTGATATATGCCATGAAGAACAAGAAGGCCAACAACAAATACAGCAGAGTAAGCAAGGGGCACAGTGGGAGAAAAGAGATCTTGGGCAGCTCAGTAGCCTAAGTGGGGCCTTTGGCATTTACTCTGATGAAATGAAGAGACGTTGAGTTTTAAGCAAAGTTGTGCTCCAAGTGTGTTGGGTTCAAAAAGATCTCTCTGGTTGCTCATCACTGAATAAGCCTGGAAAGGGTGGAAGAAGGGGAACCTATTAGGAGATTTTTGCAACAGCCCATGTTAGAGATGAAGGTGTCATGGTCCAGGGTGATAGTAGTTGGGCAGTGAGAAGTTTTTTTGGATCTAGATGCATTTTGAGTGGAGAGAATTCATGAATTCCTTCACATAGGTGGAATGAAATAATAATAGAAGTCAAAAGGTATTGCCAAGATTTTTGCCCAAATATCTGAAAAGTTGAAAATGCCATTAAATGAAATATGTAAAGCTGGGGTTGGAGAAGGTTTTGAGGGGACACTGAGCCATCAGTCACCCTATCTCTTCTAACAGTGTGGTAAATGACACATACTTGCCTTCTGTGTCACAAGTAAGGGCAGTAAGAGAGGGGCTGTGATGGCCGAGTGGTTAAGGCGTTGGACTCGAAATCCAATGGGGTCTCCCCGCGCAGGTTCAAATCCTGCTCACAGCGTTGCTCTTTTTAGTGTGGTGCCCACATCTTGAGACTTCTGCAAAATTGGATGGCTCCCCGCCCAGCATTGCAGAAAAATCTCTTAGGCGGAAATTCCAGTTTATAACTCAAATCTTTTAGGAGGGCGGGCGCAAGCTGGTTATGAGCTCCATCAATTTCTTCCACTGTCTGGGCATCTGTGAACTGCCAAAACTCCATCTCTCACTGTCCACGAGCTGCGGACTGGAGCAACTTGAAAACACTGGCTGCGAAGAGGTGAAGTTGTTAAGTCTGGAAAGTGCCTGATCCCAGCAGCAAAGAGCACAGGAAATTTGGGGGAATAGATGCCCTTTCCGATTATAGAGAGCCAGCAGCTTCTGAAAGACATTCTCAGGAAGCAATCTTTAGTGTTTGTACTGACATCAAAGGCTGGTGGAAAGCCATAAAAAATTTAGGACAATACTCCATCATATTTGCCACACATTCTTGAAAGCACTTTTTACAAAGGAGGAAGTTGAGGCACAGAGAGGATATATTTTGACTTTTGACTTTGCCTTTTCAAGCCCATGTGAAACCTCCTCTCCTCAGCGGACTAAATCTCTTTTTATAAGCACTTCTGCATTTTCAGCTATTTTGTCTCCTTTGAAGAGCTAAGTAGAATTTAAGCCAATTTTGTATTTGTTTTTAAATGAGTTCCTGGTCTCCAAGTTTCTTTGTCAAATGCGATTCTTAAAATGCATACTTCTATTGAATTCTTCCCTCCTCGTTGCATTACATGTTTATTGCAATGTTGTGGGCAGATGAATATTATGGGTGGGGGAGGGCGGTAATAAAGAGCTAAAAACTAGGCACAAATATAATAAGCTGGGTAAGGAGTGAAGTGAGAAGTGAAAACTGAGTCCATGGAGATTTGTTCAAGCAAAACAGCTACTAAGCCCCAAACAAATTTCCAATGCATACAGTCAGAAAATAAGTTAAGATTGACCTGTTTTCAGTGAGAACATTTTATGTAAATATACATCATGCAAGCAAGTCTCAATAAATTATTATTTCCCAGAATTGGCACAGTTTTTGTTCCTAATCCCTGTCTAAATTAAAAAAACAAAAACAAAACACACAACTACTAATTTGTTATGAATTGTGTATACTAATGGAAAATACTAGTATTGATAGCATCACAGCAGGTGTGGGCCAGTGGCGCAATGGATAACGCGTCTGACTACGGATCAGAAGATTCTAGGTTCGACTCCTGGCTGGCTCGCTGACCTTGTTTTTTTTTTTCCACTTTTTTTTTTTTTTTTTTAACAAACCATTGAAGCAATCATTAAAGTCCTTCGAACACAGTTTCCTGGGCCTGATCTTTCACTTTCAGGGATGCTCTCCTACATCAGCTGTCAGTCGAGTCCAAAAGAGACGTCAGAAGCGTCAAAGCAACGATCCTCTAAGATTTTCTTCTTTTATCTCTTCTTGAAGTAGGGATAGGAGATTGGCTGACAATGACCATTTGAAGGAAGGTTTGAAAATCAAAGAAGCTCTAAAGAAAAATTACCAAAAACGTTTCTTCCAGTATTTTCTCCGTAGATATTTTTTCCTGTTGCAAAGAGTCCTCACTGCAGAGGTCTCTCCTGCGTAGCTCCTCCCTCCCCACCAGCAAAGAGAAAGATGACAGACATCCCCCGGGGAAATGTGCAGTCAAGGAAAGTCCAGCTGCGGGAACATTGGAGCGAGCGGCCAGCTTGAAACTGAAGGCCGCGGTGGCCACTCCTCCCCCACGTGCCCGGCCGAGCTTCCGTCGGGGCAGAGGCCCTCGGGGGACAGAGAACCCACAGGGATCCCTTGTTTTGCAAAGGTAAACAGCCAGGGGAAAGACGGGAGTGTAAGGAAGATCTGGGAGGTGGCAGTCTTAGGGATGCCTCTCGGAACAGACCTGCCTCCTCTAGTGCGTCGAGGGCGTGCGTAGAGACTGCCAAGTGGGGAATATTCCTCAAACCAACCCAAAAGATCGTGTTCCTATGTGGACCGGCCTCCGAATGTGTAGCGTGTCTAGTCGGCGTGCATCGCAGGTGAACCGCAGTCATCGCGTGCGCCCTTCGGGTACCGAGACCAAATCAGCAAAAGGTGCGCAGCCTTGCGCGGCGCACTCGGTGCGGTGTCAGCACAGGTAACGGGGAGGGAGGGTTCGCGATGGGAGGGAGGAACCGAGCACAGACCAGACGGGAACACAGCCCGTGCCCGCTGCTCTGGCCTACCCCTCACTGGCAGCGTATGCCTCCTTTTCTTTCTCTACTGGAACTTTGACGCGCCCAAATAATACTGTCTCCTGACTTTCACTATAAACTAAGCAGGCATATTTCGAAAACTCTTCTCAACAACCTCTTTGCTAAAATCCAACCGCCTGGTTCCCACGTTACTCCCTCGTTTCTTCGGTAAAGCCTTCCTCGCAGGTGTCTGTTACTTTGTATTAAAAACAAGCAAAGCGAGAAGAAAATACATCGCCTTTTCATTGAGAATGTCTGAATTCTCCATCCTGAGCAGTGTGAGTTGGGGTCATAGGTAGTCTGGGTTGGGCAGGCAGGAGGCCAAAACGATACTTCATGTGGCCCGTACGGGGATCGAACCCGCGACCTTGGCGTTATTAGCACCACGCTCTCACCAACTGAGCTAACCGGCCACCTGCAAGCCAGCTCTTTAAAAAACATAATGTTCCTCTACATTTTTGTTTGTCTAAAACTAAGGGAGAATTTCTTCTCTTCTTTCTAAGGAGAACTTTAAACCATATTCACAGACTGTAATGAGTCTATATTCATTCAGTTCTTCGGATATGGAGCAAAAAACCCACGAAGGAACTTTTGTGCAGGGGCTGAGTCTAGTCTATTGGCGAAGAGTGCCCTGCGGTCGGATTTCCAGTTGTTGGTGAAGGGGGTCTCCCCTTTTTAGAAGCATGTCTGCAGCACTGGATCACATATGGCACACGTCTCTTCCTTGACTCCTAACGTGATGACCCATTAAAGTCGGTACGTTCAAGGCGAGGAAACGAAGAGGAGCGGTGCAGGAAAGGACGGGGTGACTCGGCGTAGCGGAAGACTCGCAGACACCTGCACTGACGTCAGCAGCATTGCAGTCCCGCGCTGTACCGCCCCCCCCCCCCCAGCAGCACCAGCCACACTCTAAGTTGGGGTAACTCGTAGTTCTGTTTGGGAGTGGGAGGAACGGGTCGCGGAGGTTTGCAGAGGACCAGGTGGCGGCGGCGCCGGCCGAGTGGTAAAGTTCTCACCCAGCTGCAAGTTCTATGCGTCACTCAGGTTGCGGGGTGAGAGCGGAGGGACCCCGGCCCTGGGCGGGGAGGCCCGAGTCCGGCAGGTGCGCTCTGCGCTGCGCAGGCAGCTC